GATGCCCTTCCTCCTGCATGCCAGAAAGGATCAAAGCACGGCCAATATTAGCCCAAGTGTTGGGCTACAGCCGTAGGGATCATTCCTGGTAATAGCGATCTGCGAGTTTAGTGCAAAAACGCATGATCGCACCGGCTCGCCTGGTGCGTTCCAGCCTGGGTTTGCATGAAGCTCGGTCGTTTTTTCGGAAATTGCTTGCTTTGTAAAAGAATGACAGATACAAATTTTTTGAAAAAATGCAAATTTCCAGTTCACTAAAAAGTGAAGCGGTCGTTTGTCAAAAAATCCATGTATGCAAATTAATTATTGTTCATTTACATATACGATTGGGGTTTGGGTCCGGGTTGCGATGGATTTCTTAACGATTTTTGGGTTGAGGATCTGCATGAGGCTGTGGTTGAGTTTAAAGTTGAGTTTAAAATCGTATGTGCATAGACAATATCCCTGCAAAGTTTCAGCCTCTACCTTGCCTGCTTTGCAAAATTGTTTCCCGCCAACACATTTTTTTGGAGGGCCTGTACGCGGGGTCTAGGCGTGTGTGGGGGATCTTGAAACGGGAGAGTGACACACCTTAACACAGTTACGTAAAAATAATGGATTGCGAAAGGGAGATGAACCGTAAAACAGGCAGGCTATTTTGAAGAAATATATGAGTTGTCGACGATAGTCTGCCAATCCATTCTGTTTTCCATCATTCCCACGATATTTCAGTCAACGAGTCCAACGTTCGCATGTTTTCAGCTGTACTGGTCTCGATTACATAGGGCCAATAAAAGCGAACGTAAATGGTCGCGAAAGAAAAAGATGAATTTGCCTCTTTATTGTTTTACATCAAGAGCTGCTCATATCGAAATGATTAGGAGTCTAAGTGAAGCTGGATTCTTGGATGGATTACGCATGTTCGTGGCGAGAAGAGATACACAAGACTACATTTACAGCGACAACGCTCCACAATTTAAAATGATCAGCAAAGTTTATAGACTCAGTGCAACTTTCTTGATTATTGCAGTGAACGAAGAATCAAATGGCGTTACACGACCCATGGCAAGGTGGTTTATACGAACGAATGACTGCTTTCGCAAAGAATGCTTTGAGGAAAAGTATTGGGAAAAGAAATCTGGATGAAGATGAACTGCGCACACTTCTGACTGCAGTCGAGGCAATGGTGAATTTTCGACCTCTAAAACACGTCGGCGGCGAACGTCTGGATGTGCTCAGACCTACTGAATTATTGAGCCCAGCAGCAAAACGGGTATCTTAGTTATGTGAGGAAAATAATGACGGTGATGGTGGCGTTCACGAACTTCAAAGAATTTCACTATGAAAAACACTTCTAAACGTATGGAAAAGTATAACAAAAGTCTGGACAAATTTTGGACATTTTGGAATGACGAATATCTGACTATGTTGCGTGAAAGGAATCAGTTGTTGCGCAAACAATGTCGGAGTTTGACAAAACGAACCTCTTGTTTGGGTGAAATAGTCCTAACAACAGAAGAAAACATTCCAAGAGGAATGTGGAGACTGAGAGAAGTAGTAGATTTCAAAAGGAGCAAGGAAGAGTTATCGGATCGGGAAGTGTGCAACTGCCTGGTGGATATGAATGGACAGGACCGGTAAACCTGTTCTGTCCCTTAGAATTAGTTGAAATTCAACAGAGTCAACCACAAAGTAAAACTGCAGACAAAAATCTCGAAGAGGAAGAATCGGAAATCGAAATGGCTTACGCGGAAAACAGTGAAACAAACCGTGAAATGACTTCATCAAAGGAGGAAAAGTAGAGGGCAAGCCTGTATTGTTAACGAGTCTTTTAATAAGGGAAATTCTTCACATTACTAGCGTTGTTCTGCAGCAGCTTCAGGTTAGTATAATTACAGAAAAAATTTCACATCTGTGCGAAGCGTCAAGCCGGTGGCATCATGATAAATGATTCGACCATTTGCTCTTTATCAGTAAGTGACACAGTTCTCCATGTCAAAGTCACGATCTATATCGGAGCTATGCTAAGATCCCAACAATATATGTCGCAGATATTACACGCACGATTTGCACGAAGGCATTCTACGTCTAATCATGGAAGTTACATCTAACAAAATCGAAGTTGGTGCCTAATTGCCGTCAGTCTACGAAAAGCTGGATCTGAAAAAGAAATATGAAAGCATAAGGCTACAATGAGTTTTATGTAGGCCCAGTGGAAATCTCGTAATGAGACTGAATATTTGTATGGCTGGTTAGGAAAGAGATTTGCTACAACGACCAATTACCTTTTGGAATATGGTGAAACAGCCACATCGAAGGACCGCGGCATCATATTCAGCTTCGGATACACAAGGAAGTGTAAAGTTGAATGGGGCATTTGTCTAACGCTCAAAGGAATAATTATGTGAAATGCCACAGAAGTAAAAAAAAAATAGTTCTGCGAAAACAGAGGAACAAGGATCGTGCAAGTGACCGGACACCATGTTGCTGATCGAAAGGTTGGGGTAATGTTCCCTACCTGTGTATGACAAAAAGGTTTCAAATTCAGCTGCCCAGGACTGTCCGGGCTTACGTACGGGCACGTGAAAATTATGGCGGGAAAATTCATAACTCGGGAATGAGAAAAGCTA